TTGGGCACCGTAGACGGTGGACCCCGTCCGAAAGGCGTATGATCCGATAAAGTGGACACCGGCCCCAATGGATTGAGGCTTTTGCACACCGCCGCGCTGCCTTGCGGGTCAGACTTTGGCTAGCCAAAGGCTCCGGTTGTGGATTCCTCAAAAGAATTCATCTTTCTTGACCTGGGCAACCTGGCAGTATTCGGCCCACATGCAAATCATCGACCGTCTTTCTTTTTCATCAAGATGATTGTACCTCGATTTGTTTGGCACACAGTCTGGCCTCAAATGAGTGTGCAATATATGTATATTATTCAACATCATTCCCGCTGGAAGGAACACTAAAAAACTTCCTTTTTTAAACGGCCGAATTTTCATACAAGGTTTAACCAGACAGTTAGTTTATTCTGAACCTTTTTAAAAACGTCGCATTAAGACGTTTTCGTTCTGAACAACCTCGATGAATCAGCGGGTTTTACAAGTTTGAACTTGATTTTGGATTTTCCGCTAGCTGTCACTAAGCGAGTTTTACGTTGTTAAACTAGTTACCAACTGAAGTGCGTTTGGTAGGGCAAAAGTTCTTCATTTCACTAGCTATTTGTCTGCCTTACAGATAATCTGACGAAAAGCCATGAAAATTAAGCGGTTGAAGGGTTATAAGCGAATACTAGAGGCATATTCCAGACATTTTGGACTACCTGTGGATCCTCTTGAAGTCTTTGTGGACAGTACATTTGCCAATCAGGCGCTACTGAACAAGTTGAATATCACGGATCAATTGGAAGCGACTTTCAAGCTTCCCATCAAACTGGTCACATCCACATGCACAATCTCTGAGTGTGAATCGTTGCGACCGCTTTTCTCAGGTGCCTTAAGCATACTTCAACAATTCAAAGTGCTCAAATGCAAGCACTCGTTTGATCCAACGAGAGGTGCTCCATGGTGTATTCGTAGACGAATTCAAACGGCTCGAAAAAGTGGACTGCGAAAATGCGGTCGCAGTTTGCTTTTTGCACTGGCCTCAAACGATGAATTGCTACAAATGCGGGCTCGTTTAGTTGCCGGGATGCCAATATTTTATGTGGCTCACAACCGAATCAATATGGAACCCGTACCACCGACCACAGAAAAACTTCTGGACACAAAATCGAGGGAGTCAATCGGACTATCGGTGCATGAGGTATGTTACCTGCTATTTGTTTTTACTGTTGATCAGTTGCGATTTTCATTTAAGGCGTTTCCACCTGTTGAGCCTTTGTGGTGTACTCAGTTTACAATAAACAACCATGAGAAATAATTAACCTTTTTACTCTCAGCTTTCATTCTCGGCACACATGTAGGGAACGAACAAATGTCTTGGGAGTTGTAATGGCGAACCGTATGAGGTTCTTATGGGATCAGGTGCATAAACCAATATATATATATATACTACTTATTATGAAATATTCTATAAAGACTATCAAGTCACATTTGTTGCGATTAGTAGTATCTAACCCATCTACAAAATCATTGAATCATAGCATTGATTCTTCAGTAGACTGTATCGGAAAGGGATGCTATCCAAACGTCACCCGGTAATGCAAACAAGGTTATTGTGTCGAAAGTAGACAAGTATATGAATAAACTGACAGAGGATTACCGAATACGCATTCCTGACGAGCGGCCAGAACCGCGAAACCGGTCGTGTGCTCCCAGGGAAATTTGTCCAGTCATTCGCATACTACTTACTATGCAATATATATATATATATATATATATACATTTATGTATAGCAACTTTTATAGCCAAAATGACCACATGTGAGAGCAAAACTATCGAATAGCCTACCTAGTCAGTGGGATAGTTTGAGGTATTACGGCAATAGCTTAATAGAAGTGTTAAGTGGAAGGTACAAATGCAATGAGTTGGATCCTGACTAGCGTCCATTATCTTTTGGGTGATAATGTGCAAGCGGTTCTGCTCAACACTAGCCTAATTCGATTCCTAAGATCCAGATAGCACCACGCTACCCAACGGCATAGCTTCGCTGGTGTAGGCTGGAAATCACGTATTTTCTGGGGGTGCGATGTACCACTTCATGTTTCAGGGTTTAGGTTGCCGGTTATCATGAATGAACAGCAGGTTCTCGTCACACTGGAGTTCCCCTATTATCATACGTAAGTAACAGACCTGAAGGAGAACAGCCAAGTGCTAGTGGCGGCACTGTGGCTGTCTCTTAGTTTGATTAGATTGTAGGCTCAGTTTCTTAGGTTTGAATTGAAGACCTCTTGTACTGTAGTATACAGATAGACCGTTTTAACGGCTCTTTTGGATAGACAATTTAGGTCTGTTTTGTACAGTCTCCTTCAGAGTGATCTCTCTGCCCTAAGTACCTAATATACTAATTATACTAGATATATATCATGAGAATGGGGGCTATTAGTAAAATTCATTTCCCTCAAGCATGCGTGATTAAAAATAGTTGCAGACAGTATATACCTGTTGTAGAGACTGAGTCTCTACACCCTTTTTACTTCGAAGTGCCAGATGAACTTACCTGATGTATCACAATCAACTATTTTGTGATGTCAATAACGAAAATATGTTAGCGAACTATTCTAACGCCGTTATTGATATTAGTTATTGCGAGACTGTTTTTCCTGCTAATAAAATCTGAGAGAACAATTGCTCATTATTCTGCAATTAACACCAAGTTTTATCTCGTCTGAATGGTAATCCATCAACATGCTTTGATCCACCTTTTTTTAATTCCAGAGCGTGGTTGTCAGTTCATTGGCTGCTCAATACGGCGTCACTTCGGAGGGTGTATTAGTTAAGAAAAGAAAACGCAAAACCGGACCAAATCCACTCTCCTGTAAAAAGAAAAAACGCAACCAACAACCAACACCACCTAAAAAAACATTAGAGAAGCCTCATAGACGTAGAAGACGGAGGCGAATTCACAACACATGGGCTTTTCAGCAAGCTTTGCTACACTTCAAAGAACAGATCGCATTGCAAACACGAGCTGTATAGTGCTATCTGAATTGTACATATTTTATACCCTTGAGCTTACTTTTCTATCGTGAGTCCAGTGATCGAGTTTCATTGCGTTGTTCAGCCCCCTCCCCCCGAAACTCTGGGAGTTCCGATGGGCGGTCATTGAGCAATCACTACGAAAAAGCGGTGTTGCATCGGGCGAATACAACTGCCGCAATCTTCCATCGCAATAGCAAACGATTGTTGAGACAGCACCTTTCCCTTTCTTGTGATCCCCTGTATATTGCGAATTTGAAACAAGTTGTTTGAAAGCGACAGTTGACAGACCTGTAGGTTTCATATTCAAACGATTTACGCCAGCATGGAATTATCATAGCCTATTTGGAGGCTTGGGATAAACTTCTATTTATATTTCACACTTGTTTGATTTCAGACTGTGACAAGCAAATCATGGAACGTCTTTCTTTTTCATAAAGATTCTTGTGCCATGATTTGTTTGGCACAGTCTCGATTCAGACGTATATATATATATCCTAACAAAGAAATCAGTCCGGAATTCTCTCTGTATTCACTACTGGTTAGCCAAACCTTGGCCGATAAGACAGTGAGGTTGTTTGGAGAAGGCAATCTGGGGGCTGATGTTTGGTTCGTTGAATATTTTACTTCCTTTTATTGAATGTATAACAACTTTCAGAATCGAGGTGGGCCGCATCCATTAAGGCGCTACGTGGGGCCACAGAAGGAAAAAGTTGGGTAGCAGCAATGGGATTCAAACACATCATCTGGTGCCTTCACCTCCACCCTTTGAATGGGGTCCATATTACCGAGTCAAGCTGCTGACCACTGTCAAAACCGAAATTGTGGTTATTACGTTTCTTGTTTGTTTTGGAAATGAGGTTGTTCGTCAATACCCTCTGGTCCACTGACTCGAATTCAGGCTGCTCGTTTTCTTTTGATATAAAAAACCATCAAATGAAGGTTTTCTGGTGAAGAAGTTTTGAGATTTTTGTTCGCGTGGGAGCGTTTCAGGAGGCACAGGAAAAGAGCAACCAGTCAACCTAAGAAATCTGCCCCCGACTTAGAAATGATGTCAAGAAATTTTAAGCGGACCCACCTTTTTGCCTACGATTCGATAAACTTCATACCACCCCGTTGCTTTACTAGTCAGGATCCTAAGGCTTTGGCTGCGGATCAAACAAAAGTTCACCTGCTTTGGTTTGAGCAACCTGGCAGTATTTCACCTGTAAACGGGTCACGTTCTTTCTTCTAAATCATGACGACTGCCGTATGGTTATTTTTTCGACACAGTATATACTCAAATTAGTGCAAAATTTGCAACTATCTCCGGTGAACATCGGTGTCTACGCAGAACTGCGCGAGTCTGGTGGGGCATCCGGACATGGCTAGGCTCATGAGTTTGAGTGATAGCACACTGTCTCAAGCGCATGGCTGACATAGATTACAGTGTTTGGAGCGTGTCATGTATATCGCCGGAAGCTTGCTGAGAAAAACAGTAGGTGGCCGGAATAAGACCCGATATTAGGTTATGAGAAAACCAATTAGTATTGGCTTCTTGGTTGGAAATCATGTGATCGACGTACTGGATGGTTAGAGGAATTAATTAATGTGCTTGGGTGTAGTAAAGTGTCGGTTATGCATCGACTCGGTTTCTCCGCAGAACTAATTTTCTTGCCTTTTATATTTTCATTTTTGAAGTGACTCTGATTTTACACTGCTCGATTTGCTTTTCGATCAACCAACTGGACAGGTAGGAACCAAAACGGTCGCACGACAGTTAGCGTATTGTTTTGCGGCCCGTGGTGAAGTTGAGAGCCGACGTCCAATCGTGGCCTGTTGACAAATTGATTCTCCTTCAAATGTTTGGCTCTCACATTGCTCAATTCTGTGAGGTAATCACCGCCCTACACAACAAATTGCTTGCGAAAACCTGAAAGTGAAGAAAAATTACTGGTCACTTCACAAAATACCCCCAAGACCGATCCGGTTTCTCTTTCGTAAGTCGGCAAGGGGAATACCGAAATATCAGAACAAGAAATCCATCCTTCTGGAATAGAAAACTTCGACAGCTTGAGATCAAGATTTTGTTTTGGAGATGCAAGGTAGGCAGCATATCAAAAAGTAAAACATGCAGTCAGCGTCTTCTGTACAAACAGATGAATCTGCAAGGAACGTGTCGTTAAGATGGGGAATCTGAAGTATGTACACAACACGAAGGATATGGGGAATGAGTAAGACGTTGAGCTAAGCGAAACGGGTGTGCAAATGACGACCGACGGNNNGGGGGGGGGGGGAGGAGAGTCAACGGTCAGGAGGCAAGAAGCGCACTCCGACCAACTGAGTCGATACAGATTTGGGGTTGGATTCAGGTGCTGAGATTGTTTGAGGATGCTGTGAATGAGAAACATGCAATCCAGGTGAAGCGTATGGTCGAGCAGCTGGTGCAATAGATGTGGTTTGAGAGAAGGAAGGCGACCGCATGGTAACGTGAGACTGTCCAGATTCAGCGTTTACTAGTCGAAGGACCGGGGTGGGTTTGTTTACGTCGCAGTTGATTCGCCTGATCACGGGTATTGCACTGTTGTGGGTTGAAGTCACTGTGACAAGGCGTGCGGATGGCGATACGGAGCTGGCCAAATCAATTGGAGCGGCGTTAATTTGTTGGGATGAAGTATCTCTAGTGTTTATTGTCTGGATGGTGTGAAAAACGCTGCCTTTGGACACAGGACCCGAAGTCAGTGGAACTACGCGCCCAAACTGAGGTGCTAATTGTGTATTGATGCGAACGGACACTGGAGAAGAATGCACTCCAGGAACCAAATTCGACGATGCAGGCTGGGACAACCGATTGACGACCCGAACGAACTGAGGCGGTGGAATAACCGGATGTGTGAACCGCTGCTGAAACACCTCGCCTGAATGCAGAAAAAATGGAGATCCAGTTTAAATGTCTCACAAATGACCTCATCTATATTTAGTTCTTTACTATTATTGAGCAATTAACGAGCTGTGCAAAGTGAACGACTACGGGACATTTAAATATAGTGATGGAAATCGCTAGGTTAAATTCGAGCAAGCGTTTATCGCATAAGACAGCCTTTGTTTGGTCGCAGCCTCCTTCCTAAAAATTGACTGCAGAAGTACATGCATAATAAATAAAAGGGAAGCAAAACAAATTTACAATTCAAAGGTATAGAAGACAAAGTGTTGCCTGTGGCAGGTATCAGTGGAGAAAAAAATGCCCATGCTCAGGTCGATTTAGGAGATAGGTGCTCGGGTGATCCGAGTCATGAAGCACTAATCGTGTTTCACTACAGTGAGAAAAGAAAGAAAATTACACAAACAATCAGGAGTGTGTGGTATCGGCTGTTGGTGAAAACGTGAACAGATCTAGTTGATCGCGTAAGAGGATGATGACAGAAGCCAAAAATATGTCGTGACATTCCATTAGGTTGTGACTAACATCGTAGAAGAAACCCCACCGCCAGGAAATGTCGACACTCACGTTTCTTTGGTGTACAAACCCTTACTATTGCATGCCATTAGCGATGGGAATCTTGTTTTATCGCTCCACACGACGGTATTCTAAAGTTTCACACACCAATGGTATCCATACATCACCTGATGACATTCAGGGAATCCTAATCCATTGTCTTGGAGTAAGACCACAGTTGTTTAACAAACCTCTTAGTGTACGATTTGAAGCAGGATAACATTTCTATCTTAAGGAAAAGATCCCACAGCAGATAGCGAAATAGCCCCCAGCTGATCGCAGAAAACTGAAAATTACCGGGTGACATGCATTAGTTTGTTTGAGGCTTTTTATTCACACGGGAACTCTAGTCCCGTTGGTTTTGCCAATGCTTCCGACATTCCGGCAAACTGATAATTTAACAATTATCTTGATGATCACTCGCATTCATTCGAAACCAAAAAGATGCGAATACCGATTATCCGCTCCTTCTTATGTGCAAATAGAGGTCAACTAAGAGGTGTGGATATTTAGTTCACAAATATGAATGAGTACCGTTCATAAAAACATCCTGCTCCGAAAACTTCTCGAGAAAGTGCTACATGCACGGACTTCTACATTAGCTACTTTCCCGGATTTTAAATCTCCCTTGAGATTTGAGAATCCCTTCAGAAATACTCTGATGTTTATTTGTGCATGACCTACCTGGAGACTTTTCTAAGCTGAGGTGAGTCACCAAGTGCTGGTTTGCCCATTTATAGAAAAAAACAGATTCTTAAAATTTTGCAAACATGGTGGTAGATTTTTTTATAATCTTAACATGGTCCGCAGTCGAAGCGACTGTCGCTTGTTATTCTGATTCTATTTGTGTCTACGGTGCTCGAGCTGCCGCTTTCCATTCCATCATCACCAACATTATCAACGGTTGTCTTGAAGTTCAGAATAAGAAGCTCATCTAGGGCTTAGGATTTTTGGTTCGTTTTTTCACCAAGCTCGGAAATAATTAGGTTTGAATAATGTCAATAAACTTTGCTAGTAACTATAATAGCGTTAATTAGATCAGGAGGTTTCAGATGTTTGAATGACAGATTAAAAAACTAACCTGATGCAGTCTTCATCTGTCGTGTGATAACAAAAACAGGCTGGCCGGTTGGAGTAAAAAGCTGTCCCGCGGGAATGCTTTCTCGTGTTCCGTTTAGCACGGATTGGACGGGTATCACGGGTTCAGGTGGCATTTGGGCAGAAGTCGGAAGTGGTTTTCGTGTATAGACGGTAGCAGGTCTTGGCATGGGGATTATACAGGAATTGTCTGATGTGGTCCATTGCACGTTTCCTGTAGAAGGACCGGAAGTAGATGGTGCTGGATGCCGCAAGGTTGGGGCTTTGAGCATCGTAGGCCGGGTGCGAGCAAGCTGATTTCCATGACCGAAGTGATTGTTACTTGAAGATAGAACATCGACTCGGCACTAGATTTCGGAACGTAAAAGAGTAGTAAGTATTAGTTAATTTGCAACGTTAGAATCGAGCTATTTAAGATGAAGAAAGA